TATGATTTAACATTTCATTTCTCGTTATATATCTAATTATCTTTATGATTTAACATTTCATTTTTTGTTATATATTATCTTTATAAATAAATATATTATATTATCAGGAATTTGGTTTTATCTCTCTAGAGAACCCTGTCTAACACAGAGAGTTACGAGTTGGCCTCCAATTTACAGCTGAGCATTTAAAATGTTTTCCACAATTAGGAACAATTAGTCCTAAAGCCTGTATCAAATCACTTTCTTGCCCTTCTTGGACTTTCACATCATTTCGGGGGAAAAAATCACAAGAAAGCTTGGGTTGACAGTTCTTTGAAGGTCAGGTCTTACATCAAGATGAAACATGACTGTCTGCATTTAATTGTTGGGAAAATTAAATATTCTGTTCCAAAAAACCCATCTGAAAGCTATGGCACTGCAAATGTCCCAGGACAAAAGGATGACACCAGGATACTCACCATGTACCACATGTTGGACCAAATGGGGTCATTGAACTGAAGGGCCGGGTGGTGGTTCCGTGCCTGTCTCTTCACCCTGAGTTTAACTTCTTGTTGTTGGAGCCATTTTACCTACCAGAAAGAAATGCAGTTACTATTTATTTTTAGAAATACCTCCTGATTTTATGTAGCCTCTCTGACCTATTTCTACTGCCGTCAAGTCTAACCACCTCATAGTGCAGGGTTTCCAAGGCTGTCAATCTTTATAGGAGCAGAGTCTCATCGTTCTCCCTCAGGTAAACTGCTCGGTTTGACCTGCTGACTTTGTAGTCAGTGGCCCAATGCTTACCTGGCAGTGCCCCTAAGCCCCTCTACAGAGGTATCATACATTTTATTTTTCATGAATATCTGTGTCATTATTAGAGGTTTTTGATGTTGTAGGGCCATGAAATTATTTAATGTGACTCTTCTAGTCAAAGTCTGTGTAACTCCTACCAAACTACCTTTTCCTCCATGAATCTAGATAAAACTGTGGAGAAAGACTCTGATAAGATTCACCTGTGTTTGGGCCTCCACTCAAGTACTCCCTCAATGCAAGAGTACTTTGTTCTATTAAACTGGCATTCTATGATGCTCATCTTCCCAACACAATCACTGAAGGCAAAGCGGGTGAATAAGTAAATGTGGTGAAGAAAGCTGAGGGTGCCTGTCTATCAAAAGATATAGCGTCTGGAGTCTTAAAGATTTGAAGGTAAACAAGCAGCCATCTAGCTGAGAAGCAACAAAGCCCACATGGAAGAAGCACACCAGCCTGCGTGATCATGGAGTGCCTAAGGGATCAGTTATCAGGCATCAAAGAACAAAAAATATTATCATTGTGTGCTCACCTCCCTGATACGATCGCTGAACACAAATGTGTGCATAAGCAAATGTGGCGAAGAAAGCTGATGGTGCCCGGCTATCAAAAGATATAGCATCTGCCATCTAGCTCAGAAGCAACAAAGCCCACATGGAAGAAGCACACCAGCCTGTGCGATCATGAGGTGTCAAAGGGATCAGGTATAAGGCATCATCAGAACAAAAAATCGTATCATTGTGAATGAGGGGGGTAGTGCGGAGTGGAGACCCAAAGCCCATTTGTAGGCCACTGGAGATCCCCTTACAAAAGGGACGTGGGGAGGAGAGGAGTCAGTCAGGGTGCAGTGATAAAACATGTTCCTGGATGCTTCCACCCCTGCCCCCACTGTCATGATCCCAATTCTATCTTACAAATCTGGCTAGACCAGAGGATGTACACTGGTACAGGTGGGAACTGGAAACACAGGGAATCCAGGGCAGATGATCCCTTCAGGACCAGTGGTGAGAGTGGCGATACTGGGAGGGTGGAAGGAGGGTGGGGTAGAAAGGGGGAACTGATTACAAGGATCTACATATAACCTCCTCCCTGGGGGATGGACAACAGAAAAGTGGGTGAAGGGAGACGTCGGACAGGGAAAGATAGGACAAAATAATTTATAAATTATCAAGGGTTCATGAGGGAGGGGGGAGTGGGGACGGAGGGGAACAAATGAGGAGCTGATGCCAGAGAGCAAATGTTTTGAGAATGATGAGGGCAATGAATGTACAAATGTGCTTTACACAATTGATGTATGTATGGATTGTGATAAAGAGTTGTATGAGCCCCTAATAAAATGATTTAAAAAAAAAAGATTCACCTGTGAGTACTTGCTAACAGGACACATTATGATTGTTATCCGCTATGTATAAAATGAGCCCTCTGAGAAGCCTGAGGGGGGATCTCCCTACCAGTGGGAGCAAAAGTGGGGCACATCCTTGAGATCCTGCATCGGATTATCGGATCTGATTTTACCAGCTTCCATAGCCTTAGGGATAAGGAAGATCCTCCGGATGATGTCTGAATTTTGATTTGGGACTTACCATCACCCACAGCCATTTCCCGTTTGGTTTTGAGTTTTAAGTGGCCATTGCAGTGAATTGTAGAACTGTGAAATATAAGGGAGTATACTAAGGGGAGAAGAGGGGATTGATGTTAGAAATAATGGAGTGGTACACCAGGATGCAATGATGTGATATTTCTGATATACTGTATTTAACTTCCACCTTCTTGGAGCCAGTCTTGCGTTAATTTTCATGCAGTAAACTATTTCGACGGATGGCAAGTTCAAAGAGGGCACTTTCATTTTGAAGTGACCATTTGAAAGCCACCGCCTGTCGGTCAGTGTGTGCACTGTGGTGTCAGTGTCGTACTGTAGTGGCTTGTGTGCTGCTGTGATGCTGGAGGCTACGTCATTGGCATATCAAGTACAAGCAGGGTCACCCAAAGCAAACAGGTTTCAGCAGAGCCTCCAGACTAAGAATAGACTACAACAAAGGAGTAGGCTGCTCATTTGTGAGTTATTAGCCACTGAAAACTTTATAACTAACAGCAGAACATTGTCAGACATTGTGTCAGAAGATGAGCCTTTCAGGACAAAAGGCAATCAGACTATGACTGAGGAAGAGCTGCCTTCTCAAAGTCGAGGCAAAACAATGATGTGGATGGAATAAAGACTCTGGGACCCTTATCTGCTGATGGAGCACGATCCAGAATGAGAAGAAACAACTGCAAACATCAATAGTTCAAACTTAACTTGTATTTCACAGGAGAGAACAGTGTTTCCATATGGTAAAACAGTAAGAAATAACAGGTTAACCCTCAAAGAAAATGTGTGTGTGTGGGGAATATAAAAAATAAAAGAAGAAAATTATAAAAAGATAGTAAAAAATATATCAACAAAGAGAAAAATGACAAGAAAATGCACAAACAAAAGGAACTCACCATGAAATACTGAAGTACAGTATCACCACACAAAAAAAACAAATAGCAAAATGACAGTTATAGAGCTACACATATCAATAATGGCACTGAATATTAATGTATTATATGTATTAGTCAAGAGACAGAGAGTAATGGAATGGATTAGTTAACAAGACCCATCAATAGACTGCTTATAAGAAACACAATGAAACAAAGCCTCTCTACAGAGGTATCAAACCGGCTCCAAGAAGGTGGAAGTTAAATATATTCCAAATATCACATCTTTTCATACTGGTATACCACTCCATTATTTCTAACACAAGCTGGTAAAATCATATCCAATAACCAGACACAAAGACAAAAATGAACTGCAACTCAAAGAATGGAAAAATATATTAAGCTAATGGCAACCACAAAAACAAAAGGCCGAAGTGGAAATATTGATTGTTGACAAAGTAGACGTCAAGGTACAAGCCATCACAAGAGACAAAGAGGACCTCTACATAATGATTAAAGGGGCACCAGAACAAGAAACAGAACTGTAATACACATATATGCACCCAATGATAGACTGTCGAAAACATTAATCAAACTTTTATGGACCTGAAAAGAGAAACAGGCAAATCAATAATAAGGTGTCTTCAATACATTATTCTCAAGGAAAGAAAGATTAACAGCAAATAAATTCAATATATTTACAAAAGAACTAAACAACACAATTAAGTTGGCTTCCTAGACATATACAGAGGACTCCACCCAAAAACATTGCATATATTTTTTACATTGCAAATGGAACATTCTTTAGAATATACTATATGTTATGACACAAAGGAAATGTAATAAAATTTGAAATATGAGATTTTACCATCCTTTTATTCCCAGACAAAATGCTATAAAATTACAATCAATATTAGGCGAAGGCCCAGACAAAAAAATCAAACACATAAAAATTGAACAACCCAGTGCTTTAAAACTGCTGGGAAATAAGGAATAATTTAAAATTCTTTGGCACAAATGAGAACACAAACAATATACCCAAACCTCTGAAACACCATGAAAGCAGTATTCACAGGGAAATTGACAGCAGTAAACATACAGATGAAAAAAGAAAGAGTCAAATTCTACACTTTAGCCTAACATCTTCAAGAACTAGAGCAAGAGCAATAAAATATACCTTCAATAACCAGGGGAGAAGAAATCATGAAGATCAGAGCAGAAATAAGTGAATCAGAAAACAATAGGAAACAAAATCAATAGGAAAATAGGTTGTTTTTTTAAGAGAATTCTCAAAATAGATAAACCACTGGTAAACTTAACAAGGGAAAGGAAAGAAGCAGAAGTAGGAGGCAAAGGGCATTTATAGAGGTCTAAATACAAGCATGTACATATGTACATATATTTATATAGCGGTAGAGAAATAGATATATGTACATATATTTATATGTTAAGTTTTAAGATAGCAGATGGACACTGGGCCTTGACTCAAGTACTCCCTCAATGCAAGAACACTTTGATCTAATAACCAGGCATTCTGTGACGCTCACCTTCCTAACACAATTGCTGAAGACAAAATAGGTGCACAAGTAAATGTGGTGAAGAAAGAAAATAGTGCCCAGCTACCAAAAGATATAGTGTCTAGGGTCTTAAAGGCTTGAAGTTAAACAAGCAGCCATGTAGCAGAGAAGCTACAAACCCATATGGAAACAGCACACCAGTCTGTGTGATCATGAGGTGTCGATGGGATCAGCTATCAGGCATCAAAGACCCAGAACAAAAAAATCATATCAATGTGAGTGAGGGGGAGTGTGGGGTGGGGAGCCAAAGCCCATCGGTAGACAATTGGACATCCTATCACAGAAGGGTCAGAAGGAAGAGATGAGCCAGTCAGGGTGCAGTACAGCATCGATGAAACATACAATTTTCCTCTAGTTCTTTAATGCTTCCTCCCCTCACTATCATGACCCCAACTCTACCTTATAAATCCAGCTAGACTAGAGCATGTACACTGATACAGATAAGAGCTCACAACACAGGGAATCCAGGACAGAAAAACCCTCAGGACCAGTAATGAGAGTAGCCATACCAGGAGGGAAAGGGGAATGCAGGGGGAGAAGGGGAAACTGATCACAATGGTATATTTATAATGCCCTTCAAGGGGGATGAACAAAAGAAAAGGGGGTGAAGGGAGACAACAGTCGGTGTAAGACATGAAGAAAATAATAATTCATAAATTATCAAGGGTTCATGAGGGAGGGGGGAAGGGAAAAACGAGCTGATAGCAAGGGCTCAAGTAGAAAGAAAATGCTGATGGCAA